GCACCTCCAGCGCGCGCACGTTCACCACCGCCATGACGTCCGCAAGCAGGAGCACGCGCACACCGCATGCCGTCAAGGGGTCGGCCGCGGGACTTCCGGGTCCGCCTCGCACAATGTAACCCCTTCTGAAAGACTATTTATTACATGTATAGTGTGTCGTGAACTTATGGGTCGTCACGGGTCATTGGGGGTTCACCCTGCGGGTGCACGGGTCGGCCGAGCATGACCCGGACCCGGACCCGTGTGACCCGACCCGCCAACCCGCACGGGTGGCCACCACCCGTGGTGATCACTAAGCCTCTCTGGAGACCTGTTTCCAAAAGGCGTCCTCAGCCCCCTCCACGCTCAACTTCTTCAAAGAAGGGAATGTGTCAGAGGAGAGAAACGTATTGAGAGCGTGCAGGTGCCATCTGAATAGGTATGTCAATGTCAACGACTGTATGTTGGAAGCGTGGTGGAGGAAGGTTGTGAAATCCAGGTGAGGGATGTGGTCGAAGTTGATATGGATATGGAGGGAAGCACCATGAGCTTTGTCGAGAGACAACTGGAGCCACTGCTTCTCGCCGTTATCTCCTCGGAGGTGGATCGTGCTCCAGAACGACTTTGTGTTCAAGATGGCATCCCGCCACGCTTTGGATACGAGCAGAAGACGAAGCCTCTTGGCAGGAGATTCAAAATGAACCAGGTAATGAATGATCTCAGTGAAGACTTCTACGGGACAGCGTTCGATAGGAAGCATGTCGAACCCCATCTGATAACAACCTGAGGTCATGAGACAAACACGGGAGAACAGGGAAAACGCACAGCACGATCTCGGCGAATGCAGGAAATGACGCTTGTGGTCTCTTTAAATGTACTATGTAGATGCAATTGCGAGGGGGAAAGAGCGAAAGTCCAATGTCGTGCTGGCAACTCCCAGCACTGCAGTTGGCGCTAAATGAGAGATAAGATAATGACTCAGCTCGAAGATCCAATCATGGACGCGCGAACGTCGCAGGTAGTAAAACTCGTTGTAGCACACGTTTTGCGCAACTTCGGCGTTAACTTTGGGACTGGAAGGCCGCAGTTCGGGCATGGTCTTTATGCTGAGCCCGAAGCTAGCAGTGTGAACGGTACCGCGATCACCCGGCGCGGCGCTCCCTCCGAAGGCCTCTGGCAGTTGTCTCTCGCTCACCCGATTCATCGGACGTAGATAGGTCGCTCGGAGTTTTCAGATACAAACGGAAGAGACAATGGATACACAAATTGGTGCTAGGTACACGATGCAATATACAAGAATATCCGCCGCCGATGCCTTCGCGGCACGCGTCGATGCGCACATGACAGGCTGCGCCTAGGTGATGCGCGAGAGAGCCGCGGCGACGCTATCCAAACGTATTCGCTTATCTTTCCCCAGGGGTTGGACGAGGTATGCGCGTGAATTGACGCTAAATTGCGAGATAGGTAAGATGACAAGATGGAGTTGCGAGCGGTCCCGATGGTCGCCGCCCTATATGCATCACTGACGACCGCCAGATGTTGACAATTCCGAAAGCAAGCCTATTTAGATACATCCTCACGTAAGCCAAACGAATTTGCGGAAGAGGCAACGAAATCCTCACTGGTCAAGTAACATTTCTCAAGTGTGGACCAGTCGTACAGAACCGTAAGTCGACCTCCATGAAGCCTTCGCGTCTTCCCCATCCACCTCCTTGTACATCGTCTTGATCGACACGTCCGCGACGTGATCCGCAAGCGCGGCTGCGTGCTCTCCCCGCCACACCGTCCGGAACTCCTCCAGCTCCTCCATCCGCGGCGCCGCGACGTACGAAAACCCGACGATAGGGACACTGCGCTCCGCTCGCGCGCACAGCATGGCCCTGAGCGCGTCGATGGAGAGATCCAACCGAGGTCGTGGCACGGCCGTGTACCCGCGATGGGCTTCCGCCTCCCACGGGCTACACAGGACGCTGCAGTCGCGGAGGGCGATGGTGCGCAGGGCGGGACACAGAGCCGCCGTGCGATCGTCGGGAGCGCCGTTGAAATTCGGATCGAGAGCGGCCCACAGCGACGCGAGCGAGCCGTGCCCCTCGAAGCAGAGCTCCGTGAGGAGTGGGAACTGGCCGAGAAGCGTGCGCCAGACGGCGGTGGTGATGTCGACTCAGCGCTCGGCGGAGATGTCGAGGCGCGTCGCGGTGGGGCAGTCGCGCAAGACGTCCATGAGGTCGCGGAGCTGGAACTCCGGCTCGATGTACACCTCGTGGAAGATGCCGGTGGTCTCGGTGTCGTACCGAATGTCTACCGAATGTTGCTGGCCTGGGCTGCTCGCTGTAAACCGGCAGTACCCACGATCGATGGTGAAGGCAATGTCTGAAAGCAGCGGCAGGAACGGGAGCACGTTGGTGCGGGGGTGGGGAAGGACGTCTGCGATGCCTGCGTGTCGGCCAGTGTACTCCTCGTGGCCCTGGATGTCGACCCTGCCTTCGGTGGTGTAATCGAACTTTACGTGGGTCGCGCAGGGAATATGCAAGTAGGATAAGAATATGGTGAGATCAAAGGTGTTGCTCGGGATCTCGAGATGGGTGAGCGACGGCAGAGTGAAAGGATTCGGGGAAACCTGGGCGAAGACTTCTTCAGCGTCTAGGTATTCGAGACGAAGGGACTTGAGTCGCTTCATGGCGGGCAGAGCTTCCATGAATTCCATGGAGTCATCCTCTGAAAAGGAAGGTCGAAGAGAAAGTTGCTCCAGGCGTTCGAAGAGCGAGGGCTTCGCGACGTATGCCAGATCGTACAAGTGCAGTGTCTTCAGGCGCGGGATTTTTGTCTCATTCAGAACAAGCGGCACGACTATCGGGGCCACTCCCGGTGCGGGATATGAACAACGCTCCCTACCTTTCCGTGCGGAGATTTTCGTCAAGCGAGGAAATGCGCCGGAGGCAAGAAACGTGTTCAGTTCTGGTAGGTGTTTTTTCAGCAGAGAGTGGAATGTCAACGACTGTATATTGGAGGCGTGGTGGAGCACCGAGATGAGTTCCAAGTGAGGGATATTCTCTACGTCGATATTGATATCGATGGCAGCACCTTGAGCCCGTTCGAGGCACAGCTTCAGCCAATTGTCGCCGTTTTCTCCGTGGACGTGGATTGTCCTCCAGAATGACTTCATGCTGACGATAGCATCCCGCCACCACCGACATACGAGAAGCAGAGGGAGCCACTCGGTCGAGTAATCGCTACCATCGTCGGTTTGAGAAGCAGGGCCGACGATGTGTTGGATGATGGCGGTGAAGATCTCGAGAGGACAGCGATCGATGGGGTGCGCGGAGAGGCAATCTCCAGCAGCGTTAAACTCCATCTGGGGGGTAGATATCAATGAGCCGGAAAAGCGCGACAGTGCCAGCAAGCCCACCCACATAGCTTGCTAGTTGGGTGTAGACGTGGCTCCAAGTGAGGGCCAGGCGTTCGGACACACCTTGGACTCGTACCACCACCACGCTGACCGTGGGAAAGTACCTCGACTCGCCCGCTGAGGCCCAAGGCTTCCCCTCTAAAGAGACGGAAGAAGAAGTCGATCCCTATACATGGGTAACTGGCACGCAGAAGTCGCCCCAGCCTGACGAGTGAACCTCGCCGCTCACCACACGAGCAGACCTCGCGAGAAGGGCGAGACCAAAACCCACGAGCGATATCTCGCTCTCCTATGAGAGCCTAGAGGGCCAAAACCCAGTAATCCCTCCACACCATCCTCTGCGCCCCACGAAGAATCATGCACGCCTCCTCAGGATGCACCGAACCGCGCTCCCCTCGCGTTCCCTCTCTCCACTCGACGTGTCCCTCCTGCGTGAACCCCACGTCTGGAGGAACGGATGACGGGCGCCACACCGAATGGGGACCTCCCCGAAACCTACCTGACTCCGCCCCCCCGACCTCGCTCCACGACGACGAGATCAAAACAAAATAAAGAAAGGTCTCTCGTGGGAGGCGCACCCTTGTCAGCCCGACCTGAACGGACCGGAATCCAGCCAATCACCCCACCCCGCACACCGCGAGGACACCCGCGTTCCTCTCCGTGTCTCAAGAATCTGGGCAACCACCCCCCCTCGCCCCCGCCCCCTACCTACCAACCAGCCGCGACCCTCCGTGAGCGACATAACCGGCCCCTTCTACCAATGAGAAACCCCGCCCCGCCCGAGCCGACCTCCAAAACCGACAGGCCAAGGAGCTCACCTTCACACCCGCCCTGCGACAGAGCTCGGCGACAACGCCAGCTCAGCGACCGCCACCATAGCAGTCTCCCGATCTCACCCCAACGATACCCGGGCGCGGCCTCTACGCTTAGGCGGAATTTGGGGATCCCACACACATAAAAAGAGGCGACGACACCAACCTCCGGCATAACCATCCCACACCCACCTAGCCAATCACTCCATCCCTCTCACAGAACCCCACTCCAGCTACCATGCCTGCCCCAGCCGACGTCTCGGCATGATCATCGACACTGAGCTCGCCCCTCCTGCCCCCACCCCGGAGGAAACCCCAACGCGCCCCCGTAACGGGAAGCGCGCCAGGCGCTCGAACACCGTCACTGTGAGCTCAAACCCAAGCTAACCCACGAGCCATGCTGAGTCCTATCGCAGGAGCAGGACCGCCGAGAGCCCCCGCCGCCTCCGGGGTTCAACCGCGATGATGCGGGCTTCCTCATGCCTATCCAGGAGCCCCCTGCTCCCCCTGCGGCGGCCCCCCAGGACAACCCTGGCCTCGAACTAGCCCAGGATGCCCCCCTTCAACCTGCCCAAGCTCTCGCGGGCCTGCCCAACGACAACCGGGATGCCCCTCCCCACCTGCCTTTCTTCCCGCCCCCCGGCTTACCCCTCCCCGTGATTCACAACCTCGCTCCAGGGGCACCCCCACCCGCCCTTGACCCCCTACCAATCGCGCCCCAACCCAAGGAAGGCCCCTGGGACCCTGCCATCCACGGCTACCGCGAGGATATGGACCCTCCGACCGCAGCGAGACACGTGCTGAACCCCGCACACTGGCGCACTCAGCGCGGGCCGGTACCAAACCCTCCCCTCCCAAACCACGCCCCCATCACGAGCGGCATCTACCGTCACACCAATATCCCAACCTACCGTGCCTTCGGGAACATGGACACTGCTTTCGAACAGCTCGTCCTCACCAAGAGTCAGGAGATGCTCATAATCCTCCCGCACGGCGCGGGCTTCGCCCTGAACGCCCACGCAGATACAGTCGCGGCGACGCTGGAAACCTTCTTCTGCTCAATCGCCTTCCAGGAGAACGGGGGCCACCCCTACAATGTCCGAGTCCACCCCCCGCGTCCGTGGAAAACCTCCAACACCCCCTTCGGCCAGCCCCATCCCTTCTCCCTGCACCACAACCCAGATGCACTCCCCCTCCGCCGCTACCTCCTCTGGAAGCAGGTCTTTGCTGTCTCCCCGGTGGTCTCCTTCACGGCCCTCCCAGTCGTGAACAACATGCACTCCTGGCGCACGCTCGTAATCACGGGAGTCACCATCGAGCACCACCACACCCACAACTTCGTCCTCACCCAGAAGGCGCAGCTCGTCGCCCGCCTCCAGGAGCTTGCCCGAGAGGACCCGGCTTTCTGCCGTGTCGCAGTCCGCATCGGCAACACCAACAACCCGGGGGTCGAGGACCCGATGGTCCACATCAATGCCGTCCTGGACACCTTCGACCTCCTCCGTACCGTGGCGGAGAGCCCAGACCGCCGCCCTGCTGCTGCCTACGTCCTTATGGTGGAGCCCCCCGAGATCACTCCCAACAACTCGGTCAACGAAATGTGCGAAGTCTTCCGGCACCCTCGCTACAAGAACTTCAGTATAAATTTCGACGTCTTCCGCACCGACTGGGACGACCTCCACTGCAGGCTCTGCAAGTCCGAGTACCATCGCACCCACGACTGCCCGCTCCCCCGCACGGTTGGCTGGCTCGGCACCACTCCGGCCCACCTCCAGCGCCTCCTCCCCGTAGCGCAGGACACCCCTGACTCCGTCACGCGTGTCGACACGCGCCTCCTCGCAGAGGAGATCTGGGGTGCCCGAGGCCGGGGCTTGAACCAAGGTACTCGCAGCACGCGTGGTCGCAGAGGACGCGGCGGGCGCGGAGGACGAGGGCGCGGCTCGGGCCCCTCCTCCCCGGTCTCCAACGTCACCTACTTTACCTAGCTAAAACAGCTATGCATCCACGCCCAAAAGGGGCTTCCCTCTCACATGCACGCCCAAAAGGGGCCTTCTCTCTACGCATGCACGCCCAAAAGGGGCTTCTCCCTGTTTACACCGCACCTAGAACAGGCTCTGTCGTACGCTACAATAACTAGCCTAATAAACAAGTTATCCCCCTCCCCACCCCTGCGTGCAGACGACATCACTATATATAAAAAAACACGGACAGCGAGCAACGCTCGAGCACCGTTCACCCAAGGAAACCACCTAAAAATAAAAATAAAAACCCATTAAGTAGAAACTGACCACACCCCGACTTTGACCTTGGAGGCCTCGCAAGTCTCTGAGCGAGTCCCCCCAAATCACGCGACGAACTACTCACACCTTACTGACAGGCAGCTACAGCAGCAAACTCAAGACGGCAACTCGGCACAAGGCATAGCGACGGGACAGTCTGGACGGGCCATCGGCGGGCCCGCGGCTGACGACCTGGATGATAGACGTCACGAAGTGGACAGCGGGCTCGACAGTACGTACCCCGGCACAAATCGTACTGACGAACACTTCAGCACAGGCTGGTGGCAGCTCGGACAGGACATGCGCGACACCGCCGCGCGTGCCCAGGAGGATGAGACAACCAGTGCGGACAGCAGACCCCATGCTCGGCACATACAAGCCGACGAGTGCCCGCGCGAGCTCACCCCGCGCGGAGCCAGACCGCCAGGATAAGCGGTAGCGATGCAGAAGCTCATCGAGCTCCCCTAGAACAGGGGAGCGCACAAGTGGACAGACTGCCCACAGAGAGTGCAACCCGCGCC